ATGCCCAAGCCTTTTAGTGTCTACCCCTGCCTTTCTTAACATAAGTCGAATCTAAACATCACTCCTAACCGATTCATCAGATGGTCGACGTTTAATGTCACCAAACCATCTAAGATGACTCTATCTAAAATTGTCTGTCACTCGAGCTACACAAACCCTTTCGCAGATAGATTTGTTTTGCATTTTGTCTTCAAATGTAAAGCGACTCATCCATCCAAGTATTCTCATCTCAGCAACACTTAACTTTGTTTTATATTTCTCTTTTAAATGCCAACATTTTTGCGCCATAAAGCATTGCAGGTCTCACTACCATTTTATAAACTTTCCTTTTAAGTCTAAGCTTACTTTCTATCACACAAAGGCCTGATGCATTCCTCCACTTCAACCAACCAGCCTGAATTCTACTAATAACATCCCCACCTATATCACCATCACTTTGAACAATAGACCCAAGATATCTAAAATGTTCACACTTTTTAATAATTTGATCGCCCATTGTTACAACTCTGCCACTAGAGATATTAGTATTAAAAAAACATTTCATATATTCATCTTTAGATCTACTCAAACGAAGACCTATAAACTCCAATGTAGACCTCCATAATTCAAGTTTTTTTTTGAATTTTTTCTATAGTTTTATCCACAAGAAGGATATCATCAACGAAAAGCATACCACACTGTACATCATCTTGCAAATGTTTAGTAAGAGCGTCCATCACTAAAGCAAGAAGATATTAGCTTCAAGCTGGTCTCTGAAGTAATCCAACTTAAATGGTAACTCCTTTTATTTGAACACAAGTAACAGCTCTAGAACACACATCCTTAATGACTTGAATATAAGTCATATCAACTCATTTTTTTTCTAGATCACTCCAAAGAACTTCTCTTGGAACTTTATCATAAGTTTTTTTCTAAATCAATAAAAATCATCTGTAGAACCTCCTTGCCCTTTGTACTTCTCCATCAAACCTCTTAATAAATGTATAGCTTTCTTAGTAGACTTACTCGACATAAATTCAAACTGATTATGAGAAATTTTTGTATCCCATCTTATCCTATGTTCAATTATCCTCCCAAAATTTTAAATTATGACACATTAACTTAATTTCTCTATAATTTGCACACTCTTGTGCATCCCCTTTATTCTTATAAAAGAGACCAAAATACTCCTCACACATACCCATCGGAACAATGACATAAATTGACTCCTCAGACATGGTTTAAAAAAACCTTAACATAAAGCTAATAATATTAAATGTCCCAATTTGTAAAATAAAATAAACAATTATACTTGGCTACAAAATTTTAAAATTATTGTCCTTTGACCAAACACTTGCACAAGAACTTTTTTTGGATAAGAATCATAAAAAAATACATCAAACACAACTATTTTTCAATTACAATCATTTTTAAATTGAAATATTATAATAGAAAAAATATATGAGTACAAGAAAATTAGCAGGAATCTTCCAATAAACATACACAAGAAAATATAGTACTATCATGAATGCTTGTGAAACTAAATTTTTAAGAGCATGAAAACTACTCAATGACTCGTTTGGATCTTCATGCTTAAAGCTTAGTGAAATAAAAAATAGAGACAATACATCTTTTTTTTTTCTTTTAGTCATGCCTCGTTTGATTAGTATAATTTAAAATCAGTCATTAACCATAGAGTCAACACTTTGAGTATCCTCATCGGAATTATTGAGTTTCCTCCAAATTTGTGATTGAAAACCTTCCATAATAGAGGATTTGCGTCCAAGTGATAGAAGATTGAATCGAATCATTTGATAGTACCTCTTGTACCTGAATTTTCTCATTCTTAAATGAGCCTGAAGTAATCAAATAAATTATGCCCAAAAAAATTTTATAGGATGAACAACATGATGAGATACCTTCATATTCAACCCTTGTCTATCTCTATAAGTTGAGGAGTCAATCCACGTCTTTTTTAATGAAAAGTACCATCTAGTACAACTAGAAGTTTAATTACAAAATGTCTTGAAGGAAATGTGGTAATAATATATACTTGCAAAGGCTTGTCAATATAGAACCCATGAAATATAAAGTAGGTTGGCTAACATAATAAAAACAAGGGTGACAAAAGCAATTTAGAATAGAGTTATAAATGCTTCTTCGAAAAAGTCAAAATAAAGTGGTCATTTCAGCATATGCATTAATGAACCGCAAATATAGTATAGCCATCAGGAGAAAAGCTTGGTGTAGTCTTGCCTTGAAAAATAGCCACAAATAAACATTTTGGCGAAATAATCTCAACTAAATATAAAGTATGTCAAGTTGACATACCTTCACAAATAATATCCAGGTTCGGGCTACTCAATTAAAATTTGCTAATAGTAAGAAAGCAAAAGGGCTTTGCAAGCTCTGAGATCTCCTCTTTAGTGAAGGTGAGAATAGGTTTACTCAGTTATGTGGATAGATGCTTATGAGAAGGTGAGAAAAAAATGGTAGGAAGTGATCATTTAAAAAGAAAAAATAAACTTGATTGATCAACTAACCTACATCTACAAAAAAAACTAAAAAGGGCAACTAGAGGCCCAAACCTCAAAGGAAAACACACAATAAGAAGAGCCTCCAGGAAGCAAGCATCCACCATGATATGACCTCATAAAGTACATCTAAAGACCTAGGAGCAACCATTATGGGAGAAATAGGCGGAATCCATTGAAAATCAATGACAAAGGAGAAGAGCGATGCAAATAAAAATCTAGAGCATCATCTGGAGAAAAAGAAAATGAATGAGCACTATAAAAAAGATGAGGGAGAATAAAAAGATCAGCAAATAGCGAAAATGAACATAGAAGGCAATATGATGGATCTATGTGCGGAAAAGCCTGTGAACAACAACCCTACCAAGAGGCAAGTGTTAAAGGAACCATAAGTCAATTGCATGAGGCATCAATGAAAAAGATCAAGCAAATGAGCAAAGCAAAGCACAATCGAAGCTGCAGGAAAGAATGCTAAGATGGAGCAAATATCATGAATTTGCAATGTGCACAAGCTAGAATAATCGGTTAGACACAAATTCATGTGCTACGAGCTCAATGGATGAGCATGTGCGTGGAGAAGAAGTGCGGAGACTTTTCAATTACATCATCATGAGCCGTATCTCAACTATTTAGAGTCGGCTATATTAATCCTCATTTTTCATTCATTCTTGGTGAGTTCGCTTGAGATGAAAAGTTGTTCTTAGCAAATTATTTTGAAAATAATTTATCCAAATTACCCTATGTCTACTAGTTTGCTCTTAATCCTCCAACGTTACTTTATTAAGTCTAAAGGTGCAACTTCCACATTTTGTTTTACATATTCAATTTTCAAGTCATTGAAATAAAAACTCAAGATATCCATGAGGAATATAATAATGGAAGGAGTGTTTATTTTGAGCAAGTATTTGCTACAAATGAAAGTAACAAAATTAAAAATAAAAATAAAAATACTAGCAAGCGGCTTCAAAACAAGATATTTCCGAGCAAAGACAGCTTATCCACTAAAGCGGGTGAAGTGAAACCTACCTCAAATTTTAAAAAAAAAAAATTATACCCAAAGATAATAGTAGAAAAAAAACTTAGAAATGAAGATAAAACATAAACAAAAACTTCATGAGGTTAATAAAATAACTAGTTAAAGGGTAGTCACTAAAATGTAAAGCTATTCTTGGCAAATCATTTTGAACATTATTTGTCCAAATTACCTTATTTCTTTCTTGTTCTTCGTAATATGCCAAAATTATTTTCTCACGCCTAAAGGTGCATTTTCTACCCTTCATTGTATACATCCAATTTTCAAGATGTTGAGATAAACTCGAGATATGCATGAGGAATATGATAATGGAGGGAATTTTTCATTTTAAACAACTACTATCTACAAAATGGAAGTAACAAAAGGTAAAAATAATAGCATCAAGCATCTTCAAAAGAAGATACCTTCCAAGCAAAGACTGCTTATCAAATTATGGGAGCGAACTAAAATCTAACTTAATATTTCTAATAAAATTATTCCCAAATATAACAGTTGGAAAAAATTAGAATTGATGGCAAAAAATACTCAAAAAGGAACTTCACGTAGTTTATAACATAGCTAGTTAAATGGTGAACCGTTCCATCAAGCACCGTTGTTTTAGTGGCATCTTTTTCAACTGCCTCTTCAAAATCACCAAATGTTTCTTGAGCAGTCAAGGCTAAGCGCTTTGTTAGATTAAGAGACACCTCCCGCAGCTCAGAACAAGCTTTCCCTTCAAATATTAATTCAACCTACCATAAATTCAGATTTTGGCCAGTAGATTAATGCTCAACTCTTAATAACAAAAAATAGCTACCAAATAAAAAACTAGTGCATTTACATTTCTCAAATGTGTAATTCAATGAAATATTCAAAAACAAAAATGAACAGCATATGGCTCAATACACTGAAAATATGGTCTTAGATTTATATTTGGAAAACAATAACCCCAAGCCCTAATAAATATGATAAAGTTTGTTAGTAGCCAAGCAATGACTTCAATAAAGCGTTTCAACAAAAACAAAAACATTTTATCAACGGAAGGATTTTATCATTATAAGAAGTCAAATACGATTAACTACATAACTTCAAAAGCTATGAGCTAATCTCCAAATTATGAAAAAAGGGTCCTAATATCATAACAAATAAGCTTTATCTTCACAAACAGAACAAATATAGTGTTAGTAAAGCTTCAGCTAAACTATTCTACGCCTTACAATCATACTAAAAGGGATGGGCAATGATGGATCTTTTTGGTCCAAGTTTTTCCCCTCAATTTTTTGTAGCTCTTGCCTGCGCGGGCACTAATTTGTGCCAAAGTTTATTACAAAGATCATTCAAAATTTTTTGTGTGCATCTAAAGCTTCTTTCATTCACTTTTTTTTTTTTTGTGCCATCATATTTATTTCCTTTTCTGTATATATGGTTCCTTCTTCTTTGCATCAATTCATGGTATTTTATTTTATTTTTTAAAGCTTGCAGGAAGACATCTCATTCGAGAAGCCAGCAACTGGCAGGTGACTTCTCTTATGCCCTTTAAATTGTTTTGATACCTCCTCTTTCCTTTTCATCCTTAAACACCAGTTGTTTTGGTTTGATATCTCTTCCTGCATTTCTCTTTATAGGTGCTTTCAGAAGTTGCAATTTGATTCTGCCAAGAATTTACAAAAATATCTACATTTCCTTGCTGAATATTTCCCCCAACTTGCTTCATAAAATCACTAGAATTTGATTTAGAAAATTGGTCCTGGCTTGCTACCGGAATTTTACAACATTGAATAAACCTAAGATAAATGTAATTTTCCATTATTTTATACTGGCAATGTTCTATTCTGAGGTACGTGTACAATGTCTTCAAGAACAAAACAAACAATAGATTTCATAATTATGCAGTCTTATTCATAAGTGTATCTGTTACATGTTAATGTCTCAGTTTAGATTGTTTTCACTAGTTAAGTTTTACTAGCAGCTATTGATACAAGAAAAGCTAAAAAACAGAAAAAGTTCAATCCAGGGATGAAGAAAAAAATCAGCCCATAAAGAAAAATGAATACCTATGCACGAAGCAATGACTAAGTTTCAATCTGCTAAGATAACAAACTTCATTCCATGTTCGAGCAAAAAGGATGTCTTTCAAGGAAAAAAGAAACGGTAATTCTCTTTTTTTCCGTCTCAAGTTCTTACAGCAATCATATTTTTAACCTTTCAGAAAATTTTAACAGAATTCCCACAAGTGCAGCATCTTTTTTTTTCAGTTTTCTATAGACATAAGCAGATGTTATTGTAGTTAAGCCCAATTTACTCATAAGCAGTCAACCCTATTAGTTCCCAAAAGCAAAGGGTTGCAAATGAACCGAGTGTTTGGCAAGCTACTTGTAACTCGGCTTGATAAGAGCTTGTTAATATTTGTTTGATTAATTAATTAAACAAATTTGAACACTTCTATAAATGCTTGATTGTTAAATGAACAAGCTCGAACACTTAGGTGTTCGATTCGTTTATGTTCGTAAATAACATCATTTAAACCACGCAAACAATCCCGTTAAGTAGCTTGATAAATAATTTAATTTAGAGTTCATAAATAAGATAGATTTTATTCTTATAAACAAAATCAATTAAAACTTAATTCAGTCTTGAAATTAAGTTCAATTAAAGCTTAATTTAAATTTCATTTATATCAAATTAAATTTTAATTTGTAGTGCTTAAGAAAAGATAAAGGCTTAATTATTTAGTTGTTTATTTATTTTACACATTTATTTGTTTATTTTAATTATTCATTTAAAAGTTCATTCATATTTGTAAGTTCAACAAGTAACTCATTTATGAACTCGGTAAAATTCGATTCATTAGAAAATACAAAGGTCAACCATATTACCCTTTATTTTGTTTGATAACTCTTATTTTCAACACAATAGCTCTAATTTAAATTTGCTTAATAAAAATTGTTTGGATAGAAATGAACAACAACAACAACAACAAAGCCTTAATCCAACTACGTGGGGTCGGCTACATGAATCCTTTTTCTCCACTGCGTCCTATTTAGTGTCATATTTTCATTTAGTTCTAGTAAATTAAGATCATTTTTAATACAATAAGCCCAAGGCTTCCTAGGTCTACCTCTACCTTTCTTAACACAAGTCGAATTTAAAACATCTACTCTCCTAATCGGATCATCTAATGGTCGACGTTTAATATGACCAAACCATCTAAGACGACTTTCTCTAATTTAGTCTGTCACAGGAGCTACACCAACCCTATCACGAATATATTCATTCCGCATTTTGTCTCTAAGTGTAAAGCCACTCATCCACCTAATCATTCTCATCCCGGCAACACTTAACTTATTATTATGCTTCTCTTTTAAAGGCCAACATTCAACGCCATAGAGCATTGCAGGCCTCACCACCGTCTTATAAAATTTTTTCAGTCTAAGAGGTACTTTTCTATCACACAAAAGGCCCGAAGCATTCCTCCACTTCAACATTTACTTGTTAATTTATTTGATAATAATTTGAGTATCATCATTTGAAACAAACAAGAAACTCAAACAGGAACTAAGCTTGAACATAAACACAGCTTGATTAGAGTTAGAGCTGAACTCGAGCTTGAATTTTATAAACAAGCTCAGAAGCTGTGGACAAATTTAGGTCATGTTGAATTTACTCAAGCTTGTTTCCCCCACCCACTTCCGTGAAGAGAGTTAGAAGTTTTTTAGTTCGTGTCGGGTTCTATAGGTAGTATATAAAAATTTTTATCTAGGATTACCAAACCCCTATGTCATTTACTGGAAAAAGATGTCTCATTTGATTTTGACCGGGATTGTCTAACTATCTTCAGAACTTTAAAAGCAAAATTAGTCATTGCACCTATTATTATTTCACCTGATTGGGAGAGTCATTTTGAATTAATCTGCGATGCTAATGAATATGCTATACGGACGGTGTTAGGCCAGAGAAGAGGTGTTTAGAGCTATATAATATGTCAGTAAGTCCCTTAATGAGGCTTAAATTAATTACATTACCATTGAAAAAGAGCTTCTTATCATAGTATATGCTTTGGATAAATTTAGGTCATATTTGATTGGAACTAAATGCATCGTTTTTACCGACCATTCATCAGTTCGATATGATATTTCTAAAAGGACGCTAAACCAAGATTGATTAGATGAGTCTTATTGCTAAAAAAATTTGACATCGAAGTGGTGGATAGGAAGGGTTCAGAAAATCAATAATGGACCACTTATCTTAGGCTTGATCAGGGAAATTTTTATGACTTTGATAATGAAATTAATGAAAATTTTCCTGATGAGCAACTTCTCACTGTTTCTGATTTAAGTGTCCTGTGATATGCAGATATTATGAGCTTTATAGTTAGAGATATTTTAGCTTTTGATTTGTCATACCGCCAGAGGAAGAATTATGTTCATGATATCAGATATTACTATTGGAATTGTCCTTACCTATATAGAAAATATAAAGATCAGGTGATTATGAGATGTTTACCCCTAGAATAGACCCAAGGTGATTAGGAAATGTTATAACTTAGAATTTGGAGGGTATTTTGGGGTTTATAGAACTGCATCTAAGATTTTGCAATCAAGATTTTTCTGGCTTACTCTATTTAGGGATGTAAATGATTATATTAAAGACTATGAAATATATCTATGAAAGATTAAATGTACTTAAACTATACTTTGGAGGTTGAGATTTTTTATGTTGAGTTTGGATTTTATGACTTTATATATTGGTAGCTGTGGCTTATATCTCAAAGTTGATAGAGGCAATAGCTTTCCCCAATTATGAGGAGGCTCAGAGCATATCCAAGTTTTTAAGAAGAACATATTTTGCAAATATGGAAAGCCTGCATTAATAATAAGTGATGGGGGGCGCCACATTAGAAATAAAAAGATTGAGACATTGATTGGAAAGTACAAAATTAATCACAATATATCTACAGCTTATCACACTCAAATAAGGGGTTTATATGAGGCATCTAATAGGGAGATAAAGAGAATCTTAAAAAAGACTGGCAACCTAAATAGGAAAATTTGGACTTTAAGCCTAGATGTTTTATGGGCTTATAGAACAATAAATTGACTATCAAACCATAAATTGACACTTTTCTTCTATTGGGCTCGAGATTTCTTCTACAACTTCAGGTTTCTTCCTAGTTATCTCTTCCAATTCTCTTTCACTTCTCAATTTAATGGTTTTTACATGTTCGTAACTCTTATCCTTAGGGTTAATCTCGATGTTACTAGGAAGTGGTCCTTGGGGTCGGTTATTAAGGGAATTTGCTATTTAGCCCACCTGATTTTCAATGTTTCTTATGGCTGCAGTTTTATTGTGCAGTTGATTCCTCATCTGCAATGCTACTTCCTCCAAAGACAACCCCTTTTCCTTAAACTGTTGATTTTTGTTAAAGTCGGGTGGGGGTAAGGAGGTCTTGAATTGGTACTACTCTGATTATTCCAATTCCCCAATGAATTTGTTTGATTATTCCCCCACTATTGGTTTCTCATCCCTTGACTATTATTGTTCCAATTAAAATTGGGATGATTCTTCCAGCTGGGATTATAGGCATTGGAATAAGGGTTATTAAACCTATTCATGGAATTCAGGGTCTGGAGAGGCAAAGCACTATGATCCACCTGTTGTTCATATGAATTCTCCTCTATTATTGGTGATCCTTGGGGTTGATTTAACCCTAACAGATCTAGCTTAACCGCTATTTGGAAAGTCAAAATCTAAAGAACATCTATGTCATGAATGCTAGCTACCTTACTAGGATTGACTGTATCAGAAGGTCATTGGAACTTATTCGTTGTCTTGTCCTCAATTAAAGAATATGTCTCATCGAGAACCATCTACAGCTGCATCTATATGATTGACCTAAAAGATACTACCAACCCATTATAAAAAGTCTTAACAATTAACCAGTCTGGTAAAGCATGGTGGTGATATTTCCTAAGAAGCTTCTTTAAACCTTTCACAGCACAGGCTTCATAAATTGATTCACCATCATGTTGGCAAAAAAAAAGAATGTAAGATCCACCTGTTGTTCATATGAATTCTCCTCCGTTACTGATGATCTTTGTGGTTGATTTAGCCTTAACAGATCTAGCTTACTAGAGATAATCGTTACTTGGAAAGTCAAAATCAAAACAACATCTATGTCAAAAATGCTAGCTATCTCACTAGGATTGACTATATCAGAAGGTCGTTGGAAGTTATTCGTAGTTATCTCTTCAATTAAAGAATATGTATCATCGAAAGGTTTAGACATAAGAGAACTATCTACGGCTGCATCTATATGATTGACCTAAAAGATCCTACTAGCCCATTATAAAAAGTATGAACTATTAATCATTCTGGTAAAGCATGGTAGGTATATTTCCTAAGAAGCTTTTTAAACCTTTCACAGGCTTCATAAATTGATTCATCATCATGTTGGCAAAAAAAAAAGAATGTCATTTTTAAGTTTAGCCGTTTTTAAAGGTGAGAAGTATTTTGTTAAGAATTTTGAGCAAAGTCGTTCCAAGTCTTAGGGCGCGTTTGGGGGAGAGATCAGAGAGCGTCGCGGCATCCTACTGGCGAAAATCACAGCCTTGGGGCGCGGCATAGGAGCTTCGCGGCCACCGCATGGGAGAATTTTGCAAAAAGCGGGCAGCGGGATCAACCCCACGGCCCGTGTTTCGCGATTCTGATTGTACCAGTTGACCCTTCGATCGAAGGTTGGATCGTTCGGGGTTGTTACGCGAAAGCAAGCAAGGTCTGCTCCTTCCCCCTCCCTTCTCTCGCATTCGTTCCCCCTCTCGCATTCGTTCCTTTGTGGTGTTTGTTTGTTCTTCTTATCTTTTGTTTGTTCCTCTTCTCTGGCAGTTCGGCTCGATCTTTCCTAAGCTTCGATAAATAGCTGACGCTGCTGCGACAACGACACAGACGATGAATCCTTTTGGTTTTCTTGCAACGATTGCAGTCCTCTCACAGAAGATTGCAGGCCTTCTTGCACACGATTGCAGATCCCCTTCTCGTAGACTTCTTGCAGACAATCACAGATCCCCTTCTCGCAGTTATTCCTTTAGTTCGACACTAGTGAGCTGGATGGTTACTACATTATCTTAGAGTGAGCTATCCCAAAAACTTATCAGTTCTTCTATGCACTTGAGTTCAAGATCAAATGATTTTTTATCCATTCTTCAACAAAATTCTTTTTGTTCTGTATTTTATTTTCACCTGAAAACATAGGTATTACCGGCTGTGTAAATATTTCGTAAATTCCAATCTTTATGATTTTGAGCATTATAGTTGGAATAAGGCTATTATGGATAACATTTAGTGGTAGAACAATTGACATTACCCAGTGGATGTTCTTTTGGAGGCCACTTATTCTCAAGAATAATGCTTGCCAAAGAGTGTTAAAAATTCATTATTATATTTCTTTTTTATTTCTGAAGTTCCAAGTTATCATTGCCAGTCATGATTCATGATAACTATTGGAATCCTAGACCTCTATTCATCTTTAAGTTCACTAGAAGTTGATTAATTCATGTCCTTAGCATAATTATTCAGCAGGTTAATTTACCAAGTATGTCACATTGGGATCTAGTAAATGCTTAGTTGAGACTTATACTTTATTGCGTAGTTTGTGTAATCCTCTTTGCTTAATGACATTTATTTGGTTTCTTCTAGACATTTCTAAGTTGCATGCTTGCAATTTTGATCTGCTTCCATTCCAGTTTTAATATTTTTTGCTTTTTAGCGCATTATGATGAAATGTGATAGAGAAAGCAGATATTGTGGTGGACTTTTGATATATTGATTATTAAGAAGGGATTAATTAGGTGGCTATGTGGCTCTAGGATGCATAAGCCATAATATTTTGGTGCAGCAACTCGAGCAGCATGTTCTTAATTAAAGTTAAGAGAAGCTGAATAATATTTCGGTGCTCATTTCATCCTCCATTTTATTATTCTTTTGCTGAAATGCAAATTAAAGTTCATGAAGCAGTTTTATGTGTCTTTTAAGGGATGTTGAATTATGAGCTTAATGTTTTGAGTGTTATAGATGTAAATAGTACTGTGCCTACAAATTTTATAAGAAATATAAGAAATTTTATAGATGTAGGCAATCGCAATAAATATAAGAAAATTTTTAAGTTAGCTCGATGCACTTGGTTCTCCTCTAAAATTTTTAAGTTATCTTAGAGTGAGCATTGTCTGTTAGTGCTTGTTGGCTTGAAGAATATTTAGTGAGCACTAGCAAGCAGGAGATTATGTGATTTTTAGCATTTAGATCAAAATGTTTGATTAACACAGTTGCCTATAGAATTTTACACTTTTTTTTTTAAGATTGGAACGGTAATTAGGAGCCTCTCCTGATACAAATTGCATAAGTAGTGCCATTTATGATTCTATTTTCTTATTTGCAAAAATATTTATTCTAAATGATATGACATCTTAAACATTTATTTGTGAGACATATTCGGAACATGCAGGAAAGTGAATGAAATTATGATAATTTTAATGGATAGTTTTGAGCGAGGCTATTTGGTTTGTTGTAAAAAGAGTGCATTTGTAATTTATTCTCTAGTTCATTTTTAATGTATTTAGAATTTACCGATTTGGACGAATTTCTAATACACCATTTGTTGTAAAGACTCGTCACTCATCACCATCAGCCGCTACCGCCGCCTACCATCGGTGGCCATGAAGATAGCTTTGAGGTGTTTTCTAGGCAATCTTAATAAATATAAGAAAATTTTTAAGGTAGCTAGGTGCACTGGGTTCTCCTCTAAAGCTCATCTCATAGCTTTTTAGTTTTCTTCCCATTTGGAGCTATATCTTCATAGATATGGTAGATGCAGATTAATCTTTCTAAATTGAAGGTAAAAAGGCTTTAATATGGCAGATTGTCAAATCTGTAAATCAGAAATTAGTCTGATTAAAGGTTCAGCATAAGGTTATTTTATAAAGAAAGTAAGGAAAATTTACATACATACCACATAATTCTTATGTATATACATATTTAAGACCTGTTTTGTAATTTCTTGCTTAATCGTCATTTCCACTGAATTTACTTTTTCTGTAAAACATCTAAATACCATAATCTGCAGAAATTACAATGTCATATGTCTTGGTTTTCTTACAAGTTTAGATTTTGAAGCTATCCTTAATTTTTTCCGGTAATCTCTGCTTCACAAGCCTATATGCGAATGCAGAGTTTGTTTTTTTAAAACCATCAAGCAATAAGCTTAAAACGATGAAATTGGAAAATATGCTTCATAATCTCTCTTAAAGTTTAAAGGCTGGTGATTGCAAGGGTTTACATTAATTTTATTTAAGTTAATTTTCTTAAAGTTTATATATTGTTATTTGATGATCAATTAATTAATTTATAAATATATTTTTATGTTCTTAATAATTTGATATAAATTTTCTTATTTATTAAAAGTAATTAATTATTTATTAATATAAATTTATTGCTTAAGAAATAATTTATTTAATATAAAAGTTATTTTATATTTTGTTTTAAAAAATTTTATTGGAGGGGCGGAATAGTTATTTTTTCATAAACAGTTGACCGACAGCTGGTTTCACACAGTTGCACCAAACAGACAGCTAACTTCCCCGAAGCAGCTTCCTGGGACAGCGCAGCTGCAGCTAAAAAATTTAGAAGTTGCAGCTGCGCCAAACAAAGCCTTAATTGAACCAGGGGCTAAGGACTTTAGCCACAATTTTGTTTTATTCCTCAAGGAGAAAGGGAAAAGCATTAGCCTCACGGCGTCATTGGAGACACCGGTGTCCCCCCAAACTGATAAGTCTACACTATTTGGATGATAGCAGACTTCAGTTCAAAGGTATTGGCTCTTACGGCAAGAGTATGAATAATTGGGTGCATTTCATCTACCGTAGGGTTAACATAACCTCTTAGAGGTCTAGGCATATCTTGATATGCATGGACCTCTTAGTTATTTTGAAGATTATTCGTCATCTTTCCTAAAAATTGTTGAAGTCTTTTTTTGTTTTATATTTTTTTAACGGTTCTCGAGCTCAGAGTGATAGGGTTCAAGGTCTAACGATCTTGCACTACAAATACACCTACTAGGTTCACTAGCAAAGTGACTCTAAGCAAAAGAGAATAATAAACAAACAAATAAAAGCACATCACAAATATTAAACAGGGGATCCTGAATCCCTTGCACAATTAAGCAAATATTAAACAAGGAATTTCTTAAATTTAATAAATAAAGACAACAATATACATACAGGGAACAAAAATAAAGCATTTTCAAGCCAAGAAATACAAGGTCAACTAAAATTTTCCTAAATCAAATTTACTGTTATTTCCCGGCAACGGTGCCAAAAATTTGGCACGCATCAGGTGATGTGAAGCACAAGCTGCTCAAATAAATATATGTGGTGTATCAATTGTATTAAATTTGAGTTTGGTTGTCGATTCCATAGGGAGCGAGGAAAACTCAATGAAGGAAAAGTTCCAACCTATTATTTCAACCTATGCATGAAAATTTTGATTTACTAATTCAGCTGTTTATCTATCCTAAATTTAAAAAGTAAATCTATCCTAGCAAGCAAAAGATTCTTATCCTCAAACTTTTAGTCCTGGCAGAAGGCAAATTAAGTTCACAAATTAACTCAACACACTCAAAATCAAATCAAGTGAAGCAATCTCAAACTTTTAGTTTTATCCAATAACCATCATAATTAAAGAGATAATCAAGTAAACTATTTACTATTCATGACAACTTTCATCAACACAAACTTAGTATTATAAATAAACATCAAAACCAAGTCTTTGTAAAGAAATGCTTAAGAAAATACAACTTAATTGTACTCATCTCCTGCACAATAAAGCAGGATAAAGATGTCTCCAATATCAAGCAATAAACTCTCTCAATCCTCACAAACACTCTTTTCTTGTCTCCTAATCTTCTTGCAAGTTGTGTGGTCTTCTCCTCCAGAATTCTCCCTGTAGAATTGACAAAAGAAAAATGGTGAACAAGCCCTCCTTAATTTGTGATCAAGTATTTTATACATCTTTCCCAAACTCAAGTTTTGAACTACCATAATTGCCAATTTTCGGGCACCAACATTGGGGCACCCATAAGTGGCGCTAGGGCACTACTATTCATTAAGCTACAACGCCTAGGTGCTAGTGTCGCGGCGCCTAGTCGCTCCTCTTCTGGAGCCCCTGCGCTACAAATACAGTGTTGGTTTTCTGAGCGCTCGGGAAATCTATCTGAAGTCTAGTTCCTAGGTGCCGCAAGATGGCACCACAGCGCTCCAAGTACAATGCCTCAGCACTACAAGTCCAGCACTGAATTTCCATCAACTCTTTATTTTGACTCCAAAATCACTTGTTCTGGCGCTTAGGCACCAAGTTCTTGTGCCTAGGAACCATAACATCTTTTTTGCTTCCATAGTTCTGATTCGATTAATTTTGATTCCATTCATCCCCGTTTTTGCTACAACATAAAATCTACTTAAAAGTGTAATATCGTCATCTTAAATGCAATAATATATGTAACAAAAAATACAAAAATTATCAACATACCAGTGAACTGCAATTACGTCTGTGGGCTGCAAAGGTCGGAATTAGGAGTTGCATGAGGTGTGGATCATGTAGGTCGTAGTGATGAGTTGTAATGACGTCCGTAGGCCTTGGGGGTAGGAGTTGGGAGTTGCACGAACTAAGGAACGTGTAGGCTATATTGGTCAGTTTTAATGATGTTCATATGTCATGAAAGTCGGAGTCGAGAGCTGCGCAAGCTGTGAACCACGTAGGTCGTAGTTGGTCACGTCAGTCGTAGTAGTGACTTGTAATGATGTATGTAGCTCGCGGGGGCTGAAATGGGAGCTTCACGAGCTGTGGATTATGTAAGGTGTAATTGATCATGTAGGTCATAGTGGTGAGTTGTAACGATGTTAGTAGGTACTTGGGCCAAAGTTTGAAGCTGCACAAGTTGTGGACCACGTAAGTCATAGTTGGTCACGATGATCGTAGTGGTAAGTTATCGTTGACCTCACTTTTGGTTAAGGCCTAGTTTTCCTCTTTAGTAGCCTAGGTCTAGCCATAGGTCTTTCGTATTGACTATTCCTAGAAAACTAGAAAAAGAACCCTCACCATTATAAATTCTAAACTCCTCTTTACTCAACTTGATAATGGTCCTAACCTCTAGCACTTAGTAGGTGGGGTCATTATGGGGGAGCCCAAGGAGAGTTCCCATAGGACTGCTTGCCCGTAGGGTTGACTTTAGGCGTTGGTCTAGAGCTAAGGCACTAACTACAATCACCTCACTCACAATCACTCAATA